CTTCAATCCCCTTGCACTAAAAAATAAAAAAGGAAAAAATACATTTGGTGCTGGGTTGAAAACTTAAATCTTGTTGAGAAAGTTAGAAAATTAATTTGACTTTTGTTAAGTTTATTTGATCGTGATTTAAAATTTATAACAAATCTATCAATTTAAAAAATTTTCAAGTAATAATTGTTGGATATAATAAATGAAGAAATATAAATGTGATTTGAATATCTCTTAAATAATAATACATAAAGTTAATTTATAAAACAAAAAAATAAAATAAAACTAATATTGTTTGGTTAGGAAGCCAATTTAAACGCATCTAATATACATGATAAAGGAGGTTTCAAAATTTTGAACCATTACCAACCACCCCTGACTAAGATACATAGGTTGATCTATCACCCCAACCATGATTTTTTCTTTAGGAATAGCTTGGTATTTATAGGCAAAGGAGTCTTCAATTAGTGCTTTGCAGAGGAGGAAGCAGCTTTGTTCTTCAAAGGAGAGGGTAGTGCCACTTTTGCTTCCAAGAAGAGGATTTGTTTCAACTTTTGTAATTCTTGACCAAGAATGCTTCACTATGGTAAGTCTTGATCTACAAAAATTTCACAGTTGGAAAGCTTCGAGACTAAAAAATTCAGCTTGCCTTCTTGGAATTCTAGGTGACAAAGTATTTCCAAACTTAATATCATTCTTACTTGATAATTAAGCAACAAACTTCAGCTCATTAATCTTCAGGAATTCAGCTCAGTTTCAATCATCTAAAAATCTGATTTTTTTTTCTTGATAAATATCTCCTAAAATCATCTCACGTAATCGCAACTTGGCTTGGCTTGAATTGAACTAAAATAGGCAGCTTGGAGCCTTAAAAACCGAATCTGCCTACAGCAGCTAGCACTTGATTTGCATCCTATTTAAACTCTTCAAAACAGCAGCTATGCAGCTCATTTATCCAGCTCATGCTGCCTTGGATTTGTCTCATTAAATATCCAGCATTCATGCTTTGACCAGCCTTGGAAAGACCAAAAATTACTTGGCTAAAAACAGCTAGCACACAGCTCATACTTGCCGCCAGCTTCAATCAGTTTTTCTACCTTGTTTCTTCAACTTTTTCTTCCAATTTTAAATCATAAAATCAGAATTTAAATGCCATCCCATGTTGCAAAAATTCAGCTCAAATTCAACCATAAAAAATTGCAAAATCAGACTTCAATTCATCCCAAAGGTGACGCCAAAAACAGCAGCCTGTGTAGCTTCAGTGTTCAGCTGTGCATCCAATTGGTAACAAATTCAACTCCTTAAATTAGCTATTTAAATTTGAATTTAACTCCTTAAATGGAGCTCCAATTTATCTACAAACCATCCTTTAACTTAAGCCAAACAGCCTTGAAAACCATCTTCAAATCTGTCCAGTTTTAACGCCAAAACAGTCTTGAATGCAAACAAATTTTAAGCCCTTAGGTCATGTTTGGTGCATAACATGATGGATAAGATAGGATAATAATTATCTTATATTATGTTTGTTTTATATCTAAAGAAAAGGATAGTATTACAAGAAAGATTAATCATCATATTGGTATAAGATTATTCAATCTTCTCAAAGTGAAGAAGATTATTTTTAATCCTAGGACTGAACTTATATGTCCTATTTTACCTTAAAAATTACATCAATAATTAAATTGTATAAACTTTGAAAAAAGATAATTTTGATCCACAAATAAATTATCCTATCATAATCCTTGTACACATAAAATATTAAATAGGATGACATTATTTAATCTAATCATATTCATAATATCATCTTATCATATCCTATCATAATCATGTGTATCACAAACATCCTCAATTCTTCATCCTCTAGTCATGCTTTGATCTCCAATAAATTTCCACCAAATTGCCAACTCATCCATGTAATTTTATGCATATGCATCCACATAAAACTCCATGGAATTGCTTAAAAAATTAAAATACAAGGCTGCCAACTTAATGCTTTAGATCTGTCTTCATAAATTAAGTCTTGAATTCATCTTCAATTTGCTCCAAAAAATCTCCAATTAAGCCATGTAATGCAAGCCATAATAATCCATTCATTTTATGGCCAAATTGCCTTGAAATACACCTTTTTTCTAATTTTGTTGAATTTTTCCTAGACATTGAACAAATTAAGCACTTTAGAAGTAAATTTGAAATTTGTTTGTTAAGAACAAAGCAAATTTTATACAATTAAACAATAAAAATAACTCTATTTTATAAAGTTATCAATTTGGTATTGGATATGTTAGTTATTAACTCAAGTGCAAGTGGGAGATTGTTAGTATATACCCTAGAACCAATTAGATTGGATAAAGATATATTGTTATTGATGAATTCTTATCAATTGTGATTCATCTAGCATAAAGATAAAGATTTATCAAGGTGCTAATCGAATGAAACTCATGGAATAAAAAGGCTTTACAAAGGGATTGTAAAGGGTTACAATTATGAGATCCTTATGCATCAAAATCGTATTCCTAAAACTGTTCCTGGTAATTGTATTATTGAGACAAGGCATCAACAATGCTCAAAGATAAGTACATGTTAAGCCTCCTTACTTATGTGCTCATGAGTATACACGATACCATGCTTATGTCTTTTCGAGCTATATGATGGAAGGACCAAATTATACTGATAGACTGAACATTGAAAGGTTTGTCAAGACTATATTGACTCTCTAACATTTAGGTGGTCTAATGCATTGCTAGATGCCACTCATGATATATGAATATAATTAGATTATCTTTATATTGATATGGATATATCAATATTGCTAACATATTAGAAGCATAATAGGTCACACACAATAATCACAATGCCAAATTAAAATTGAGATTCAATTAAGATTTAATTGAGTAAAAGCTAAAATATGAGAAGGACTTAATTGAAAAATTCAATTAAATTATAAGGCCAATTTAGAATTATGATAATTCTAAATTAGGGCTTAGGCAAGATAAGGCTTATACATAAGCTTGTGCTTTTGCCACCTATCCAACTTGGTGGGATCATGTTTTCCTTTCACCTCTCTCTTTGTCGCTCTTGTTAGTGAACATGAGAAAGAGATCCTCCCATGGTGGTTCGGCCAAGAAGGATTGAAGCTTTTGATTTAGGCATTTGAGCCATCTTGCTAGCACAAAGGTTCCCCAAAACTTATAGAAGGATTCAAACTTATGATTGTGTGGATCACCATTGAAGGCCAAACATTTTGATGACTTAAAGTTTCTATATTCTTTGGTGTTCAAGGAAATCAAGGCTGGTCTAACTTAAAATTACAATAACTTTGAGCTAAGATATGTCTCTATTTATATGGATGATTATTGAATTACTTTTAACTTCAACTTGTGTAACCTAGTGATCCTTGAAAGGTTTTAGTTTATTTGTTTGTTTAAATTTATGCTTTTAATTTTGCTTCCACTGTGCATGAATGTTCTAGTATGATCTGAAATCCAACAATAAAACCTGGCATAAATTTTAAAAAAATAAAGGATATGATTTTTTTTTCTTTATGTATAATGGTAAGTTACTTAAACTAACAATAACTTAAAAGTTTATTGTAATATAAAATTAAGAAAATATGCTGAAAAAGAACAAAAGAATAAAAAATATATACAAAAAATCCATAAAAATAAATTTGAAAACCATAATATAAGAAGTTGATGAAAGTTACAAGAAAGCAAAATAAGTAAAGATGCAAGTTTGGATTTGATCAAAAAGCAAATATTAATATCACTTGTCAAGCTTAAATCGAATTTTTAAAATATAAAAAAATAATAAAGGTATAAATGTCATTTTATATTTATTTTTTTATTTCCTTTCCTTGACTTTTCCTCTAGTTTGAGATAATTAAAATTGAAGTTTTCGAGGGAAAGAGGGTGCTCAACCCCTTTTCATTTCCTTTCCTTTTATGTTAATTTAAAATGAAAGCCAAACAAGGAAAATGTTTCTAGTTTCCTTTGCTTTCCTTTCTTTCCCCGCACCTTCCCTAAAAAAAATTCAACAAAAGAGATGAAAATTTGTTAATCCATAAAATAATGTAGGTTTAGAATTATTTCTATATAATTATATTTTTTCAAATTTAATTCCAATGTGAAAATTTAAGAATCTAAATATGTCTAAATAAATTAAATTAATTATAAACTTATATTAATATTTTCTCATAAGTTTAGCAAGTTCTATTAATTTAGGCATAATTTTTTCAATTGTATGTATTTTTCAAGTACATATTTTTTTGTTCTTTTCCTATATTTATGAAATAATAATAAAATATTAAAAAAATGATATATGAACCATCATAAATTAAAAAAAAATAAAATATATAATTATTTTTTATGAACAATGGCAATTACCTCGACCAATAATAACTTAAAAGTTTATTTTCATATAAATAAAGAAAATATGATAAAAGAAAGAACAAAAGAATAAAAAATATACATACAAAAAAAATCCACAAAAATAAATTTGAAGATCATAATATAAGTTGATGAAAGTTACAAGAAAGCAAAATAAGTAATGGTACAAGTTTGAATTTGATAAAAAAAAGTAGATATTAATACTACTTGTGAAGTTTATAATGTATTTTTGAAAATTAAAAAAAATAATAAAGGTATAATCTTATTTTATATTTAAAATTTTTTCTTATTTTCTTAACTTTTTTTCTAAATTTAGAGTGATTAAAAAGTGAAACTTATGAAAGAAAAGGAGAGGTGCTCAATCCTTTTTCTTTTCTTTTATTTTAATTTAAAATGGAAGTAAAAAAAAAAAAATTTGTTTCTTATTTCCCTTATTTTACCTTCCTTTCTCCGTGCTCCCCTCAATTGAAATATGGGCTTTAACTATATCGTCGATAAGATCGATACTACCAATGGCTAAGATACCACCAAATTCTCTATCCTACTACACGTGCTGGGTATAAGGTTTATCTCAACAATATCTCAACATAAAATTTTATTATTATTTAATTAATTTAATTTACTAAAAATAAAGTTCTAATTTGCATTGTCTTTATGATAGGAATTTTATGATACAAGCAAATAACAAAAACTAAACAAAAGAATATAAACTGGTTGTATTTATGTAACATAAAATAGCATCGAAATTTTATTTCTCTTTTTTATTTATCTTTTTCATATTTCTAATAAACAAAGCATATACACAGACATTCTAATTACAAATTGGTGGAAGTTCTGTCAAGTCATTTCTGAAACTGGACATCTCTGGCATGATATAAATGTCAAAGAGGGGTGAATCTGTGGCAATATTCTAATATTGTAGCTTGCAATCAGCTCCTTGCCAGTACCATCAAAACAGTTCCTTGTTGATTTTAGTTCGATATCTATCCTACTCATCAGGGCCTTAAAAGTTTTGCACCTGAATTTGAAGCCATCCAAGAAGTGATTACGTCCACAAGATTGTTTATGTCCTTTGAAATTTCTGCACGAAGAACAGTCGAGTCCACACCTAATGTATTGCTGACTTCTTTGGCAACAGTCTCCCATGGTGTTCCGACAGTCAGATTCGCCAAAAACTCGCTTCCACGATTTACTGCATCAGCCATTGCAGGTGGAACATCTGGTAGAGCCTGCAACATACACGGATTATGAAAACTGCTTGCCGTTTCCAGCAAGAAAAGGAGTTACATGCGTAGACTGCTTGCTGGATTTGTTCTTAATCAAAAGCACATATTCTTAATTCCCTGAAATGATCGAAAGTACATCGTTCATTCATGCAACAGCATTTTAAAGTAATTTGCCACAAGCATACTTGTTGTAGAGGAAGCCCATGATCTCCTGGCAACAATCGAATTGACATGTCTAGCATTGAGCTAATAGCTGACTCTGAACTTAGCACCTGAGCCAAGTTTGGAGTTTCATCTATTGAATCATCCTTGAACTTTATTAGAAGATTTCTTGAAATGCCATAGTATGACTTTATCTGAAAAATATGTGAAGAATCAAGTTATAAAAGTTATCCTAAGATTATCTCAGAAGAAAATTGCAGTGTAGAAGGAAATTATGGTTTGCAGTACTTTTCAATCTAATTAATAAGTACACCATCTTCAAAATTTTAAAATGTTCTACTTGAAACTGCAAGAACATTGTTCTAGATTCACATATTTGTGAAACTCATCGTCTCTCCACAAAGACACCTGGCTGAAGAGCCAGAATTAGCATTTGATCAACTCTGCCCTCCTCATCGCACATTGCCCTTAAACTTCAGGAATAATGGAGTGGAGTAACATCAATGAGCAAGATACTTTTTCAAACAGGGATGCTGATACTTGGGTGTTTTTCTATTCCCCCTCCCAGCACTGCATAAATCTCAAATATTTTCCCAATGGTATTCGAACAAAGCTTGAACCAGTTTAAATTGTTACTATACTTTTTCAAATGTTTAAATTCTTTCTTTTTTGGGCTTAGAACATATATTGAGAAGGATTGGGTAGACCAGTTTCTGAATATTGGTTCACAAAAAGAGGCTCTCCACAAACCACCTCATTAAGGGGACACGTCAATTAGCCAAATGCTGAAGCCTAGATATGGCTCATAACTATCTACCAATGAGGTCCAAGCACCAAGCAAGTAGTAAAGTACATTTTGCCTAGGGTGAAAGACCTGATAAACAAAGAACAAACAAGAATGTGTAATGCAACAACCTAGGAACAAAAGAGTTAGAGATTTTACATACAAGTCGTCGAGTTTCTTCTGGTTTTGGACTAAAATCTTCTCTTCCCTTGACTAAGTCCATGTACAAGGGGGGAAGTTGCTCAACTAAAGGAAGAACCTGCTTCATAATGGGAGGACTAAGGCTCTCTATTTGCTTTAGTGTCATCTCAGCCTGCAAGTAGTTTTGTAAAATCAGACAAAGCATTCACTCCAAAACCAAATACAATGAATAAACTCAAGTTTGAGAAAATAAAATGAAGTATTGCCTCTAGATGGAAGATAAAATTGAGAAAAAAGAAAAAAACACAAATTCACACAACAATATCAATCCTTTTAGGTCCGATATAAGAAAAAACAATTGAAATGCACTCCTCATGTCAAACTATCATACTTAAAAATTGGAAAGAAAATGGCAAGTAGAAACCACTTTTAAGTAGAATTAATTATGTAAAGGGTAACTTAAGTGTAGTCCAATATTCAATTTGCCACTTGAGCTAAAAAAAAAGTATTCAATGTAAGACGTTAACTATCGCTTTGATTGTCGAATAACCATTTAGCTGACATTTGAAATAAAATTGATGACCACTAAGCCTATCTTGTGACATAAAGTATAAATATATAAAAATTAAATGGCAAAAGAACCTAAAACTTCTGCACCATCCAATATGACATGTTTAGTGGCAAAACCATTACACCTAGCTATAATGTTGCATTACATGATCAGTCATGATACTCCATAAATTCTGCTTTCTTTCTGTATTCTTCATCTTGTTTTGTTTTGTTTTTTTCTATTTCTTTTAACTGCATTATTTCTCTAATTTTCTTTCTTTTTCTCACTACATTATACTCTTTTCTCTCTCATTGCCACCATTCTTCATGGATTCATAGTTCTTTTCCACAAACTTCCTTCAAAATCATCATCATATGATCCAAATCAAACACATATCTGTCCCACCCTTAGCTCCACTATGACCAAGGGTAAGATATACCCTAAGCCAAATCTAAGGGTGATAAACTGTTCACATGTCAAAAACCTTGTCATGGTCAAAGGACCAAACAAGGTTAACAAGCTCATCGAGCCTCAAGGACTTCTATATTGGCATCCTCACTGCCATCATTAGCAAGATCAATTCTCTTAGTGCTACCACTGGCTCCCTCAATGACATAAAGGGCAAAATCTTGAGAAAACGTCAAACATGTAAAAATTGTTTTTGTGTTCTTGCAATTATAAATATGAGCTTTTCATTTGGGCACTCAAATTATAAAAGAATGTTGCTTTTTTTTTTCTTTCTTTTGAAATTTTTCGTTTTAAGGCTATTTGGAATTTTGGAGGTAGATTTAGAGAGAGATTAAACTTTGGGTTCAGAGTAGATATGCCAATTCTAGCTTGAACCCAAAAAATTCGCCTAACTCACCCAAACCAGAACCTAACCAACCTGATTGACCATAAAAAGTTTAATAACTCGAACCCATCCAGCCTAAAACTGAAAATAGCCTGAATCCAAATCAACCCAAAGCCGAAATAGTCCGAACTCGAAATGACACAAAACTGAAATGACCCAAAATATTAACTTGAAATAACTCAATACTAAATTAAGTATAATTTTATGAAAAAACATGAATTTAACAAAAATAATGAATATAACACAAATGATAACTTATTAAAACTATTGAAAACATCAAATTAATAGATACTTTTAATATCAATCTAGTATAAATTATATGTGTTGCGTTACTTATAAAATTTATTATCTTTATAATATAATTTAAAATATATTATATTTTTAATTATTATGGGTATACAAATTAATATATTATTTAGAATAAATTATATAATGTCTTATAATTCTACGTAGGTATCAATTATCATGTAATTTAAAATAAAATATATAAAACAAGCCATTGATTTGTGTATATACGCTATATTTATATTGTAATTATATTATTAGTTTTTAATCATGTAATTTAGAATAACTTATATAATAAGCTACAATTATACTAAAATCCAAAATAATGAGCTATTGAATAATGAGTAATAATTATACTAAAATGATTATTTATATTGGACTTGTATTATTAATATAAAAATAATTGCTTACTAAATATGTATCATAAATATTTTAAAAAAATGTTACATTATCATATTAAATATGTAATTGTTTATTATAATTAACAGTTTAAAATAGTGTTTATCTATTTATGTTAAATTAAATTAAATATAAAAAATTATTAAACATATCAAATGTGAAAAACATGTTTCTCGTGTCTAATACGTGTACTCATATTGCACGATTTAATTAAACATATTTTCTGTGTTTTACGCGTCTCAAAATGTGTCAACACTACTAAACACGAAACACATTTTTCTAAAACTCATACGATTTTTCTCATATCATTATAGTGTTACATCATCGTGTCGTATTTAAATTTGTCAGATCTAATAAAATCACATTTTTTTCATTTTAATTTAAAGCATACAAATAACAATATTTATATTTAAAATATTATTTTTTTATTTTATCTTTTAATAAAATTATAATACAATATGGCTCAAACTTGATCAAAGAATCTGTATAAATTCAATCTAATTTTATTTTAAAGATTAATAACTTAAACTTGGAATAACCCAAATGTCAAACCCAAAATACTCAAAATGATATGACACAAACCCAAATTGGGCCGAACCAAAAATGACCTGAAGCTGAAAGAGCCTGAACAAAAAATGACTTGAAACCGAATTGACCCAACCAAAAATTAACCCGATTGTTTTAAAACACAAAATCACCCAAACTGAAATGACTCGACCCACCCAATTGATAAACGAGTTTATAACGAGCAAGAAATGGAGAGAAAGTAGAAACTTAAGGAAAAAGAGAGAAAAGCTAGTAGAAAGTAAAATGGGACTAGGGATTCATGACAAATGGTGTTCTAAAAGAGAACCAAAAACTTAAGGAAGAAAGAGAGTGAATCCTTTTCCGGAGAAAGAATGAAGAAAAATGAAAACCAAAGAAACATAAAATGATGCAAAGAAAAGAAACAAAAAATTTTACAAAATGAAAAAAAAAAAAAAAAAGCAATTACAAGAACCATGTTAATACCATCTAGTTGGCAATAAAAATCGCAAATTCCCAAGATTATGTGGAATTTCTAGGTTGCCTTGGAATTTCTTTTTGTTTGTCTTCCACATTGTCCATGTATAACATTATATGATAGGTTTAAGAGCACCTCATCCGTTTTTTAAATGAGATAGTTAAATGGCATATGAAAAAAAAAATGATAGTTAAGGTACCCCATTGCCTAATTTTCATCTTTAAGTACTAAATTTAAATGTTGGAGCATACTTTTTAGGAAAATGATAAGCAGACAATTAGAATATCTTCATTTTATCCTCGTACTTTTAGATACAAACATGAACTTGGACTCAATAATTCCGTCAGAAAATACAATTACGCTTATTTGGTTCAAGAAAAATATGAAAAAATAAATAAAAAAACAAGGATTATTGCTTTTTTTTTGTGGTTGCAGAGGAAAGAATGAAGGAAAATGTAGGGGAAAACTTTTTTTTTTTGGTTCAAAGTACTTCATAGCTTAGAGAAGGGGGAAAGGATTTTATGTGTTCGGATTTGAAACCAAAACTTGCAACACCCCCACTTCAATGGTGGGAATATGAACAATTTAGCCAACACTATAGTAACAAAATATTTCTCCTACTATCCTTCAAAAAAAAAGTGAAGAAAATGAGGGAAAATTTGAGATATGCTACTTCGCTCAAACGACAAGCCAAAAGCCATTCCCAAAAGCCATTGACATTTTTGAATAGCTAATTTACTTTGATCAACAACTACCTTCAGCGAGTCTAAGCTTCCAATTCCTTCATGCTAACAAAAGTGACGGAGCGATGGAGCTTGACAATTCTATGAATGAGATAAGGAGTGACCCTTTGTTTCAAAGAAAGATAAACAAATAGAGAGGCTTTTGGTAGTGATAGTGCTGGTGGGTCTAACAACAAAGAAAGAGGATGACTGGTTGTCAAATTAGTGGATGTGTGGCTTCGCAGGACAAATGATTTCTAGCAAAATTAATTATTTTAAGGGAAACATTGTGTGGGTACCCACACCTATGACATGGTGTTTTATCTTTGTGGAAGATAAATTAATTTTAAATTGAGGTACAATAAAAAAATATTACATTTGTTAGTAGAGTACTAAATTGTTAGTTTTAGTAACCAAAGTTCAATGCTTGACAACCTAAAATACCAAAAATAAAAAATAAAAATTCAAGGACTCTTTGAATGATGTGCTTTTTCTTTTGGGAGAATGTGAAAAAAACATTGTCTATATTTGTGATTGCAATAATTGATTATAGTTCTGTCTACTAAACAATGATAAACTATAGTAACTATCCATATTATCACAATATAAGCTAATTCGTAGTAGTATCTATTGGCATAGTTTACCGCCTTGGAAAATACTAGTAATATTTAAAATTTAGAATTGAAAAGAAAACTTTGTTTTTTGTTTCCATGTATGAATGGTATAGTTTATAGTTTAAAAAAAAAAAAACACTACTAATTTTTGAAATTTAGAATTGAAAATATAATTTTTATTTTGTTTCTTTATATTTTCTATACACCTTGACCAACAAGTATAAAAAGTCATTTTCCTTATATTTTCCTTATCATCCAAACAAGATGATGAATTCCATTTTTCTTTCCTATAAATTTTCCTTGATACTTTCCTTCCCTCAAATTTTTCATGAACCAAACAGTCTTAAAGTTACAAAGACACCACCCCCAACAAGGGTATTAATATAAAGCCCTACACCAAAATAGCTCATAGTCTCATGAGAGAGTTAAAGACCACAAGTGAAAATTTGTAACTACATAAAAGTGCAAGTAGAACTAAAATGAGTTCTGAAGGCAGAAGAAAAAATAAAACCTAAGATATCATGCTTGACAAGATCCCAAAGGCAAAGTACCCTAGCACTAGCTATCCTTTAGAAATAGAGAATTTACATAGGTTGAGTATGAGAAGAATTGAAGTCGCTTTTATTGCATCAAAACTCATAAAAGGAGTCATATCAAAGAATAAGGCTATAATGGTAACTAATGAAGTATTCCAAGGAAGAATAGGGTTGTCTAGCCATTAAAATATTTTACCCAAAGTTACATGTAGTCAACAAATCCATGAATTTAACAAGTCTTAAGTCTCCTAATCATAACAAACATATGATGTAAATGAACAGGTTAAAAGTAGTGATTATATAGTGATTAAAATAAACAAGTGTAAGTTGTGTGCATTATAAAACATTATTTGCATCATTGCATGTAATGCAGGAAAAAAATCGAGTTATGTTTTTACCCCCATGCGGATTGTAGGCGACGACGCAATTTGTGAGAAAAATGGTCCAACACTTTGGGCCATTGGCACAAGAACGGGTGAGAACAAGGGGATAGCTAAGCTTGCTTCCTGAGAGATAAAATAGAATTTTCAATCTCATTTCAATTCAAAAAAGGAATTATATGGTAGCTATCTTAGGACGATATATAAGCTTTCAAATAAAAACTAAGAAAAGGAAAAATCAACATGAGATCAGCTGATCAGTTTCAACCTTAAGGGAAACAAGAAATATGAAAAGTGATGGTGATCTTATCCATCTCATTTATTTGCTTCAGCTGAGATTGTAGAGATAGTAAAGAAAGGGGGAAGATGAGTCTTTTATTCATATTTTGCTGGGTTGTTTAAATTTTAACTTTTCTCCAAATCACCTTGATATGCAAGTTGTAAGGTGAAATTTTTTTTATGGACTAATTTGATTTGGGACCATGTAGACACTTCCATAATCACACATAACTGCCTTATTTTTCAGTAACTTTAGACATGCATAATTAGAAATTCAACTACCTTGTTGTTGAATGCCATTAATACATTCCCACTTCTTTGCACGGCATATCTTGAACCTGTAAAATGAATTCATTAATCAAATAACCAGCTGCAAACAAAACCAGGTGCATCCTTAGGATGAATACCATACAAGAAGATCTACTTAATACCAATCAAAAGGTGGATAACAGAACCCAAAGAATGGCCGATACCAAATGTAGGAAGATCATGCACCTGTATGATGAGCTTAAAGTCACCTTTTTATCTTCTTTCATAAATGAATTTAGAAAAGGGTGGGAGAGGGATTTCAATTGGAAGAATATTTATTTTGAAGATTATATTAAGAACTCACTGTGTCTTGTAGAAACCGTAAACACCTGTCGAATTTGAACTGGACTTCATCAGCAATGAAGAAATAATCAAACCCACTAGCATATGGTGTTGCAATCACCAAAGCGCCCCTTGATTACAGAAAAGGTTAAATAGTAAATTCCCTTAGTTCTCAGCAAGATAATGCTATTAAGCTCCAGCTTCAGTCAGATTAAATTGCAATTTTGGTCAAAAGGCAGATCAAAGATAGCATGAACACTAAACTGGGTGCTAATAAGAATGTGTTGAAATGATTTAAAAATAAATTACATACAACACAAGTAAAGATATTTAAAAATTTTACTTATAGAAAAATAAATCTGCTGTATTACCACCACACCAGCAATGTCAAATATTTGGTAATCAGGCAATTGAGTACAAATGCAAGACAATTACTTTTCTGAAAGGCGCTCCAGAAACAATCGATATGTAAGCTGGGGAGCAGCTCCAACAAATATACCACCAACAAAATGAACAACTGACTTAGGTTTTGAGCCTTTCGGTTTAAGAACCCATGCTCCCTGAATGCATCAAACTAGTATCAACGATTAAGCAAGCAACAAAGTGAGATTGTTGAAGATGAAGAAGTTAGTAACAAGCTAATTTCTCAAAAGCATAAAAAATGTGGCTGCTTTCTGCGTTTCCTCAGTGTTCAATAATCAACAAACATGATTCCCAAATCACAAACATAGAAAAGTAGGAACAATAAATCACTAATGCCCAATTTGAAAAAGTGGGTAAAAGAAAAGAAAATTAAAATCAGATAAAACCTCGACTTGGCTCCAATCACTTGAACCACCCCAAGCACCTTGCGATTGCCTTACAGTGTCTGTAAGCAATCTGAAAACACATCAGGAGAAGTAAAATTAAGAATCCATAAAATATTTCGAGGACTGGAAGAAGAGGAAGGACATAATTATATTTATACCTCTCAATATCACGATAGAGCTGAACTGCAGAGGACTGTGTCTGGTTGTTGCGATTGGTATCATCGTAATTACAAAAGATTCTCGGAGTTAAACGAGGACGAATAGCAGGCGGGAGGGGAAACTTGACAAGTGACTCAGAGAAACATCGTAGGAATCCAGTTCTGTGCGAATGAAATTGAATAGAGGTTGGAGTCAATACGCAATTAGCCATATCCTTCACGGTTTAGCTGCCCTGGTGTTTTTACCCTTTCTTTCTGTGTTCTTCTAAAGCATACCCTCCTTTGTTCTTGCGTTGCTGATTTTGTCCTATGCTCTTCTTTTTCTTGGTTTTTATACAAGCGCTGACCAAAAACCATGTATGTCGCTTTTCACGAGAAGTCGGGTCGAATTCGAACTGCACATTTTATTGGTTTGTGAAATGTTGAATTATTGAGTCGCTTGGTTTTATTTTTGGAGATTTCGTGCTGGAGTGCTCATACTTGAAATTTGGAATACTAGAAATATCCTCACGCGCAGCGGAGTTAGATTTTTTAATATTTTGAAAGGTGTCTTTTTATTTATCCCTTGTATTTTCGTAAAAGAGGTAACGTTTTTATATATTAGGTCTTGAAGTCAAATTTTATAAAATTTATATACAAATTAGGCGAGAATACGTGCAGTTATGAGTTTTTTTTTTTTATTTTGTATCCATATTAATCGGTATTTTTTTGAAAATTTTATCTAATTTTCTTTAAAAAAATAAAAAATTCAAACAAGAATAATACATGAATATTTATATTAATATATTATCTTGAATTAATTTGATATTTTTTAAAAAAAATCCATATCAAATTAAAATAAATAAAAATCCATCAAATAATGATTATTTTATTATTTTTACAAATCAACTTATTTTATTATAAAATTGATTTAATTAAAAAATAATTTTTAAAAATACAAAAGAAAAAAAATTGAGATGTTACGTGGGCGTCTCAACTAGCATTATTTTTTCATAAAATTTCTCATAAAGGTAAATAGATTATAAATTATATACTTTTACATATAACAAGAAGTGGTTTGGGACAGACATCCTAAATATGCTTTTAGCTTATTCTTGCTTTTTTATAAGAAACAAACTCGGCTTAATTAGATACTAATTTCTATAAAAATATTCATATCAAATTGAGATAAATAGAAATCAATCAAATACTAATTTTTTATCAAACAAAAATGTAACATGTTATTCTTTTTGTCATCTCTTTTACCTATTTTTTTCAAAATTTATCTAATTAAAAATGACCAAAAAATTTTTAAAAAATCCAAATAAGGATAACATGCAACTTAAATTGACCTCCTTTTATCACAAAATATATCTAATTAAAAATTTTTAAATAAAATAAATTATAAAAATAAAAAATTCATAAAATATGTTATATAAACACCTCATTGAGTATAAAATATTAATTTTTTTCATTAAAATATTAAATAATAATTTTATTAATATAATACATATATAAATATAAAATTAAATTAATAATAAAGTGTATATTTATATATACCTTGAAATTAATTGGGATAAAATACTTTAAATATGCTTTCACCCTAATGTCGTATCTTATAAAAAAAAATTCAACCTAGCCCAACGGAACGTGTTACATTTTTTTTTCTTTTTTTTTGCTTTTTTCTCTCTATTTTTTCTTTTTAAAATTTTTTTTTTTTTTTAATTTTTAATTTTTAAGTTATATAAAATTTTGTAAAAAGAATTCGAAGGTGTCCATATGGCACTACAATTTATTTTTTTCTTTTGCTTTTTTTATTTTTTAATTAGATAAATTTTGTAACAAAAAAATTTGATTAATAGGATAGGAAAATAATTCGTATCTAATTAGTTTCGATTCTATCTAATTCGATAGTGATGAATTTTTTAACCTTTTCCTTTTTCAATTCATATCTAAAATAAAAAATTTTGACTTACAACAAAACACAAATATTCATCTAATATCATTCATATTTGAAGTATAAGTATATTATTTAAATTTTATTTTACTATTTTTTATTATCCTTTATTTTTTATGTTGAACATTTATTAATTTTATTTAGCAACAAAAGGAAATTTTTATGTTAGAGATTTTTTTTTTAATTCTCTTTAGATAATGATGGAGTTTTAAAAATATATACTTACATAAGAATTTTTTAAAAAAAATTCTCATTTGTAATTTTTTTAAATTATGTCATGTCATTTATATCATTTTCCTTTTATTTTTTTATACTTTTCATATTTTACATAATTTAAGATTTTTTGTTATTATTATTTTTATATTTCAATTTATTATTTGTTAAATTAACTTATGTATTGGAATAATTATTTGGATGCTTAAAAGAATTTGGTAGAACCCATTATATGGTTCCTTATTTTTTATTTTTTGACAAATGTCACTGCAAAGTTTTTAAAATTTTATATTAATGAGAAATTTTCAATAATCATTTTTATTATAAGTATAATTTTATTTTTTGTTAATTTTAGTGTTTATTTAATGAATCAAACAACTTCATTAACTTCAATAAAAAAACACAATAAAACATAATAAATAATAATCAAATAAAATAAAAGGGCTATAAATTTTGTTTTGAATTGGATTAGTTCTTTCTTTATTTTTTTTTTCAAATTGAACATAAGTCCATTAGGCTTGAACACTTATGTAGGACCAGGATAGAAACTTCTAATTAGGCTTACCTTAAATGCGTCTTATGTTCTTTTTTGTTTTTTGTTTTTTGTTTTTTGTTTTTGTTTTTTTGTTTTTTCTATTTTCTTACTTCCAAAATGACATAGTTTTGAAGATAGCTATATAAAATCTAAAAAAACTCTAAAAGCTCCTATTTTCTTCTTCCTTTCTTCTCCAAAATCGTTCTCCCTTTTTAACTTCCTTTCTTCTAACAATCGCTCCTTTTTTTATAAAACTATCTAATCTTTTGCCTTAACACCTACCTTTTGTTTGTCCTTTTTTTCTTTTGCCTTTCATTTTCCTTCTTACCGTTTTCATCCATTTTTTAAAAATTTCTCCCTTTCAGAAAAAAACTTCCTAACTCTCGCCACTGTTGCCACATCAGTTAATCATGATTAGCTATGTCTGTTCATGATTTTTTTGTCTAAAGATTTTGTAAATTTCTCTCATGTTCTTCATTTTTTATTTTTAGGTGTTTATTGGTTGATTTTGATACTGATAGCTTATTTCTTGTGATAGATTTTTTTATTTTTTTAATATAAAAAAATCCAAAAATTTTTAGATCTAAGATTTTTTTTTATTTATCTTATTACTTGGATGTTGATTGATTTTGTTGTTGGTGGCTATGATGGTTAAACTTTTTAATTGTGTTGTCGGAACCAATTATGTTACTGGTGGTTATGATGGTTAAAATTTTTATTGTGTTGCTAGAATTGATTGTTCTGATGGTGGTTATCAAAAACAAATTCTATCATATTTGTATTGTTACTTTTAGGGTTTAGATTTTTTTGTTGTGATTATTTAAAACAATTTTTACATTTTTAAAAAATGTTACATATTAATATTGATTAAAGGTAAAATGTTACATATTAGTCATTAATCTTTAAATCAAAGGTTAAAATTTTCATTTTTATAGTAGAGGACAAGTGTTAGTTTCTAATCTCTTTAAAAATTCTTTTAAATAGAGTAGTATGGATCTCTTAAAATTTAGAAGAATTTCAAATATTGGAAATATTAAAACAATTATAAGATTTATCATAATTAAAATCCTATGTATGTGTATGATGTATGGGTGAAATCTTCTAGATAAAAAAGATTCTCTTTTTGTATAAGTCATGACCCATAGTATCATATGTATTAATAGTAGTAAAATTTATAGTATTTTACAAGTCTATTTTAGTTCAAAAAATTTGAAAATTACTTAAATTTGGTATGTTTAATGTGTGATTTCTTGATCGTTAGGTTTAAGACATATAGGACGTGAAAGATAGATGAATGCCATGCAATTCCATGCAAGATTAGCATAATCCCAATTCTTGTAGTATTCAGACAATTTAATAAAGGAAAGTAGTTGAATCCTATTAGCATTAAGACTCATAAACCCATTTGATTAAAAGACATACTACTTGCACTAAAACTCTTATATCCATTCAATTATCCTACTCACTACTATTACTGTACATACAGAGGGGGAGAAGCCCTAAGAAAAGTCTATTTCGCCTAGTTGAGCTTTTTTGAGTGTGGCGAGGTCTTGAGAGGAAGAAGCTGGCGAGTAGACTTCTTGGGCTATGTTCGGTAGAAGACTTCCATAAATGTTGGAAGGCACCTTCCGCGGGATGCTGTCCCACTCGCAGGAGCCGACGGGGTGACCCACATAACGATCAAAATGAACTAGTAGCTCATTTATTTTCATTGGTTAGTTTAGGACAGTGGTACCAAATTACAATCTTTACGACTATTAAGATAAAGACGTATGAAAGGACTATGCCCTCCATGAAGGGCACGACATAGTAGGTAGCAGATGTTTAATTGAAGGGTTGAAAAACTCTACTTAACCACTACAAAAATTGCGTAAAAAAAACATATTTTAATAAGGGAATATAACCTAGCTTAAATTGAGTAAGAGCAAGATACTTGACTTATATGTCAATAAAATGTACCTAAAGGGAATTATGTATCAATATTAGAGTTAAATCAATAAAATTTTAAAAAATTTTAATTTTCTAAAACCAAGATCAATTAATAAGATTATACAAACAAATAACTTCATAAACATGCATATGTTTTGGTTTAGGTGCTTACCTTAGATGTCAAAATTCTTTTGGTTCAATTTGGTAATCTCTTAAATAAATTCTAAGTCAAAAAGCTGCCAAATGTTCAACCTCTAATGGTGATCCATACAAACTCTTATGAAAGAACATTTTTTAAGGTTTGGTGAACTCAATGCCAAACTATAGCTAGTAAATGTTTTCAAGATCTCTTGTATTTTCTTGAGTGAAACTTTTTTTTCTTATTACTTGATACAAGAGAGGGTAGCTTAATATTCTTTTTATAGGGATACATTTGTTCACATTAGGTTTAATGCTTGGAATATAAATTTTCACAATTAACCTTATGCTAGCTGCATGAACCAACAAGTGAAACTTTTTCTCTTTTTTTCTTTCTTTTATATTTGGTCATACCAAAATCAAATTAAGTCCAACTTAATTTGTCACAATTTTAATCTTTTACAATTATCCTATTGTATGTGACCTATTATGTTCTTTAGCATATTGGCAATAAACACAAGCACTATAAGCCTTAATATTTGGCTATGGATGAAATAAATTTTTTGTCTTTATCACCAATTCTCCAATTAGCCAATCTTATATCTATAAATCATGACCAATGCTTGCTTCATTATCATGATCACCAATTGCTAAAAAAAAGTCAATATAGCATGACAACCCATTTATTAATGGCCTTAACGTATAATTAATATTTTTTCATTAT